ATAGGTTATTATAAGAAGCAAATAATATATTTTTGTCACAGATTTAGCTAGTATACTCTGAAACAGTTGTGAGTATTCTCAACATTTCCACTGTGCATGGCATACAGTAGGCTTTTTTTCACAGCAGACAGTTTGACTTGCCATATCAGGAGATCACAGGTTACTATTGTAGTATTATAAGCCATGCTAGTGGGCCTGTCATGCACAATACCTGAACCCTGGAACGGATTCATTATTATTAATTACAGTTGTGCTTTTCCTGCTTTGACATGAGAAAGTGTCTGCTGTGAAGAGGGCCTGATGTGGGACAGGACACTGGAGATCTCAGTGTGCATATTAGCATTTCTAGGACTGCCATTCAGCCCTCCAGCAAGATCAGAATACATAGTTAATAGTTAATATGCACAGAGTACACATTTTTCCAGTTTTCCAGTTCAATATGGCCATATAAGTAAACACACTGGGAGTATATCAGTCAGTCAGTCAGTCAGTCTGCCTATGGGGGTTTTGCACAAGGTACAGTTTACAGACCTACAGATGCTAGAAGCAGCTGACAGAGACCTAATAGAGATTTTACATTGGTGGTATGGAAGACTCATTTCTTTCTGAGGGCTTACCTTCCGCCTTTGATCACAGTGTCCATGTATTTGGCCCCAAGGCTACTGTAAAACACTCCATGAGCCTGAGACTGCACTAGCTTTCTGCACAGAGCCAGAGGGCAAGATTTAGCCTTTGATCGGTGTGTGTGTTGTAGGGTAGTTAGTGTTAGCTGTGTGTGAGGGTATATATCCATCTAAATGTAACATAGTTTGTGTGTGTGTGTCTGTATTGCCCGTCTGGGAAATGGTTAGGATATACAGGTATATAAGCGGTGTATGACTCCCTTGTTTCAGCGCTCCACCCCTGCCTCGCTCTGTTGGGAACCTGACCTCCTCGACTCTCTTCCCCGACTTTAATAAGCGAGTGTATGGCTCCCAAGACCTCGGCTCGCCTCCTCACCTCCTCCCCTCCTTCCCTTCTCGCTCCACCTCTCCTCGCCCTTTCTTATCCGATGGTTTATCTCTGCTCATCCTCTGTATCACTGTTCATCCCCGACTTAAATTTATATCTCAACAAGGAATTTCTGTAGATTTTTGTGCGCCAGTAGTTGTACTGGGAAGGTTCTAGTGGCTGCAAATGGGAATCCCCCAGGTATGAGGCCGTATGAATCAGAAGGACGTCGTTCAGTTAACTGGATAAAATAGAGGTTGAAAAACAAGGCCACAATGAGAGAGAAAAAGAGAAGGAAGATTCAGAGAACTTAAAAAGAGATCAAGTGCAATCAAGAGGAAGAAAGAAAAGAGAGGAGTGAAAGCGAGGGATTAGAGGAATCCCCCAGGTAAAGAGATTGTTGTGTCTCATTGTGTAGAACTGCTCCGCTATCTGATGCAGACTCGGCTCTGACACCTGTCACCACTCCTAATGAAACATCTCCCACAATCCTCTGCTTCCAGATCTTTTGTTCACTCCCTCCCTCCTTTGAGCGTGTGTGTGTGTTACCTTCTCTATTCCCTTCATGTGTTCGCTCTATTGTGAGTCTTTGTACTGTATATGTGGGTTCTATGTGGGGAATGCCTTTGTATGTGTGTTTTCAGAGGAATGTGACGTTGTGCTTTTTATCCTGACTCTGATGCATCAGTAATAAGGAACCGACCTTAGGAGAGTGTGTGTGTGTGTGTGTGTGTTTGTGCATATGTGTGTGTGTGTGCGTGTTGTTGAAGCAATAGGGACCAGAATGTGCAATAGCGAGGCACAGATGTGAAGTGGTCTCAGTGTATATGTGTGTGTGTGTGTGTGTGTGTGGGCGTGTGGGTGGGTGGCAGCCAGACAGGATTTCCATGCCACAGTTGGAGCAGATGCTTGAGCCCAGTCTTCCCAACATTAACAATGACTTCAGACTAGATACTCCGTCCATCTTGTCACATACACACCACATGTTCTCATCCCAGGTCGTCAAATACCGACGCTGCTTCGCCGTGCCCCGCTGCATCATATACAGAAGCACAAGATGCACCTTAGCGTCTGTATGAGACACCAAAGGGCTATGAGAAAACGTCGATATTTGACGCCCTGGGAATGAGAACGGGCACACACACTCTTTTTCCCTCTTCCTTTCTGGGCTTCTTCAGTCCTGTTTTCCATTTTATTGGAGGCTAGAAGCAGTTCATTAGCGATCTGTCGCCATCTGTGAATACTTTAAACTTTGACTGTCAGCCTCACTAATTGACAATCTGCTTCACTGAGCTCATTGGCATTGATTTGATCTCTTCTCTGTCTCTCATTCCTCATTTCTTTCCTCCTCCTTCCCTCTCCCAACCACATCGCAACGTTCATATCATGTTAGATTTTCTGTAAATGAGAGCCGCCGACTGGGACAAACCTGTTCGCCGCAGCCTCCTGCTCGTAATTACAAGTAGGAGCTTTCACATTATCCAACTGTGGTCATAAAGTTGACCAAGACAGCTGGCAAACATGCCAGTAGAGTTACTGTCGGTAAAATGATCAGTTATAATTATCCTAATAGTCTACTTGCGAAAAAAGGCAATCGATTTTATTTATTATTTTATTTAATTTCTGGATAGTTTCAAGGCTGCACTGATATTTTCTCTTTCTGTGGTCACTTGCGAGCAGCAGAAGAAATTGCTCAAAATCAATTTGCGAAAATCTTAAAAAGTAAATATCAAAAACTGTTTATATGTTTGGCTGAGATGGAAAAGTTCATCTAGTGATCAAAATGCAACAAAGTGCAATGGGAATAAATCACAACATACATCATCCACTGAAGCTTCTACTCCACTGAAGAAAGTAAACATGGGGCGGCAGAGCAGTAAGGTGACTGTAATGTTCCTCAAATTGATACACGAAACAAACATAAATGCCAATTTCTACAGTCCCGACTGGAGAATGAGCGGCACCAGCTACTTATCTCGACAAACCAACTCCTAATCTCATAAGGGTCATAGAAAGGAAAGGCGTCCAAAACAAAAACAGTTAGCTAAAAGAAGCTGGAAGCTTTGTACAGCCTATTAGAAAACTACTCTGTGTGGGTTTGTCACTACTAGTTTCACATTACACATACTTATTTTATCCACTGTTAGTCTAAAAAATATTGATTAATTCAGCTTTAAAGGAACTGTGTTACATGCCATCTTTAGTCAAATATATTGAATTACAAATTAAACACTATTAAAAATGCTCTGTATATATACATATAATCTCCAAATATTTACATATTTGACTTTTCCACCCTTCGCCTTCCCATATGGCGCCAATGCTATCTGGCTGTGGGAGTGTGCTATATTGTGGTGAATGGAGCAGAGGTGTCTCTTGGTGCCTATATGTCCAAACCTCTCTCACCCCTCTGCATCCTCTCTGTAATTCCCAGGCCTATCTGCAAGTCATTACCGATGCCCCATTAGACAGTAACTCTGCACAGAGCACACTCATATTGAGATTACGCTACAGAGTGTGAGGCTGCTGGTGTGGTTTGACTTTAGGTATTCACTCCTGATTAAATAGAATGCAGTTCCTGCTGATTGATCATTGCAGATATAAACGTTTGCCAATAGAAAAATTATAGTTCGCTTAATGGCGCTTAAAGTAGAATACGACTTAATTTGAAAATTGTAGTTTGGTATTTGTATGGCCTTTACGATTGTTTACCACATCTCCAGATGAATACCAAGCACACATTAGTGGATAGAACTTGTTTAATGGTAATTACAGCCATGATATTGCAGTGGCTCTTTTTATCCACTTACACTGCGGAAAATGTGTTAACAAGTCACAGCCTTTTAGTCAGACTTAATATAAATTAAAATCTTCTACAAACAATCGCTTAAGCATCTTGGCTCAATGAATAAAAAGGCACTTTAATCTCTTGAATGACCACTTTTTGACTTGCTTGTTTCAGAAAATGTTAAAACTACTCTTGAAATGTATTTTCGGGGTGGATAGTTGTGTCAAACAGTTGCAGTACTTTTTATTGTGTGATGTAAATTCAGCATATCAATATGAAATATGCTAATACTGTAGTATCACTGCCACACATGAATGTGTTGAAATTAAATCTCTTTTGATGAACAAGTCAAAAACACAGTTCGAAGCACAAATTAACTCTAACGCATGAGCAGTGACATAGCATGGATTCCAGCTGACAGCTGAATATTGTTTTATGATTTACTTAGGGTTGAAAAAATACAGATCAAAGATTGTGGTGCAAAGCTACTATTCTAGCCAATTTCTCATTGATTGCAGAGCAGAAAGAAATCGCTGAACTGAAGCGCTGACCCCTCAGTCATCTCCCTCCTCTAAGCCGTCAGACTGTAGCTGTTTTACAGTACTGCATGGAACACTGTCCGTGTTCCTAAGAGACGCTGCCTCAGGCTCTCATTTTCGTACACGCAGAAAGAATTAGAATATCCTTTGGTGCATTCATTTAGGCAAAAACACACCTAATATCAGCCTCATTAATACTTGGAAGGGTTTGATTCCAAAATGGCATGTACTCATTTTGACAAGTGCCAGCCACATTCAATATTCAGTGGTTCACAAATAGGACAAGAGTTGATCCTCAGGAGTGTTGATAATTTGTAAGTGGAGGTTTTAGGCAGCCTGATTGTTCAAACATATTCCACCATGAGAACAAAGGATGCTGGGATGCATCTGGAATGTGGATGGATGCTCTTGGGAGGAAAAAGAAAATGATTCATAGGTAATTATGGACACAAGGGAGCTCTGTAATGCCATAGTGCCGTTTCTAATTCACAATTATATCTGGTCAGTCAGAATAAATAGCCTCATCTGTATTTTCTGTCAGTGGAGAAGACATTGATTTTCTTTATCCCGTCCCTCCACCAGCATGTTCAGAACACCCTGTCCACCCAGATCTGAATCCCATTGAGGCTGTCTGCTTTCTTTTCCAGTCACGTCTCACAATTCTTATTTTTTCTCATCCCCAGGAGTGTCCTCAGATCCTGCCCTCCCCTCAGATCTACATCCCTGCTGGAGTCATGAGGCCAATCACCCTGCTGGCCCAGAACCTTCCCCAGCCACAGTCCGGACAGAAGAACTACGAGTGTATCTTCCACATCCAGGGCAACACGCACAACGTCCCAGCCCTAAGGTTCAACAGCACCAGCATACAGTGTCAGAAGACCACGGTAAGGCTAAAAAACAATTGGGATTTTATATTTAATCTTAGTCTTGTCTCGTGCTTATCTGTTTTATTTGTTTTAGTCAAGGACAAGTCAAAATGTTTTAGCCCTGTTTTATTCGACAAAAAGTCATTCAACTTTTAGTCAAAATGTTTTCTTTCTTTAAAGTAATTAAATTAGGCTAATAGGTATCAGAAGTTAGAATAAAGGTGATTGCATTTTACTCTTAACATTTGAGGGGTCATGCAATGTTTGTAAGCTATTATAGTTAGTTAGTAGATAGTAGATAGTTAAAAATATCTTACTGGGAACACAATTAAACCCGTAATGTTTTCTTGAATGTCCTGAATTTGCCCGACCGATGGGCTGACCGATGGGTGGAGCAGGTTCGGGTCTCCCTTGCTGCTCCCACCAGCAGTATCTGTGCTACCAATTGTGCTGCTATAATGCATAAAGTTTGCGGGTTGGGTCTCCTACTTATTAAAATAATTTTTTGAATGTCAGATAGTCCACCATTTAACATTGTAGTCCCGTCCCATCAAAGAAAACAAAACCTACATTTCGCTTTACAGTGAAATTACAGCAGCTTACAGAGGTGGAATGTCTGTTGACCTGATGAATGTGAGTTTATATATTGTCGCTTTTTATTTACTGATTACCAGCTCAGCCATTCCTAATCAAATATCTCGCTGCTCCAGCCATCCCCAGCTGCTCAGTCTGTAAGCTGGAGCTCCGTTTAGGACAGTGATACTGGTTAACCATTAGTAGACTTTACAGCTGGTTAGCTACAGTGTGAGACCAGCAGTTAATAGACTGGTGTGGCAAAGACTTGAAACTGAGGCGTATGGCCACAGGGACTGACTGTCGCAAATCCACTCTCTCTTCATTCCCACTCCTCATTCCTGCCTCTTAGCCCTCAGTCAAACTGTCACCGCTAATAGGGAGCGACCATTTCGGCAATGTTAATTTCCTCAGCTCCAATCAGGGCATGAGGCAGAGAGGAGACATTTTAACGACACCAATTATGACTTACTTAACGAGACATATGATTAACATGCAAGCCTGCACACACCGCAGCAGTGGTGATAGATCTAATAGCGAGTCCTCGCAGTTAAAAGGCAGTGGGAGCCGATGTGTGGCTTTGGCAGCTTCACCGGCCGCCTTTTTCTTCGGCCTGTCACACGGGTGTGAGTGCCTCCAGGTCATTTAGTGTTACCACTGGGTTCAAAAAACGTCGCTGATCTGCGGCCTCTTGCTGTTTTTGAGCTCTATGCGGTCACCCACTTTCTTCCTTAAAAGGGGGGAAAGAATGAGCGCCAGTGTTGGAATCCTGAAAGTCGTTCTGCCTCTGATATTGGACGGTGACACGAAAAATAGTTCAGGGGCATATTATTGAAATAGATTTCCAGATCGTAATGACGGCTCCTACAGTTCTTTTGTGTTTTGGAAAGGTAATTTGTGCATATTTAGTGGCTTGTGTCTCTGTAATTGCTTCGTGCAAGTGAGTGTTCTTTTATGATTTTACTTTTTGGGTTGTTATTACGGGTTTTTGTCGGATTTGTCCTCAGTGACCTGACTACTTTAAAGCCTATTGAATAGTGCAAAAATGAGCTGCAAAAACAGTAATTGCTGTACATCAAGTTGAATGTTTGAATAAATTGGTCAAAGTCAGACTCACAGTTCCTTTACCTAAGGATTTCTGGCTTTTACTTTCAAACTACTCATATGCCTTCAGCATGGTGAGACCTTTTCTAATATCTTCTATCATTGACATTGTAACACTAGTGAGACTAAAACTAAAACATGTATTACTTGAACACCACACCTGTTAGTTATTTTTTTCTCTCTGTGAAAGTTTAAGTGTGTTGTGAAAGCCTCCCACGCCACCAAACACCAGCGCTTACTCCAGGAACTAGCCGTGTGCAGTTTGCATCCCCTGTGTTAGATACACTCACACACATTCATTACTACGCCAGCACTACTGCTGAGCGTTGCTGATGCTGGAGGACAGAGACCTTTCTCAGCAAATCTCTGATTCACTGGCAAACTGAATGGATGCACACACACATGCACGCACATTATGTTTCATCAGTCCACGGTGCACTTTAACGTTTTGTAAAATCCTGATGTTCTTTCTGCAGGAGGCAGGAAAATAGTAAATATAGCGGCCTAAACACAACTTTGCAGCTGTTTATGAAGCTTAGGGGGCTGGAGAGTGTGTGCGCAATGTGTGTGCATGCGCCCACGTGAGCAAATCCATGTGGTGTTGAGAGTGAGTATGCTTCCTTCTCCCCACCCCCCGCCTCTCTCCTCGTCAGGTGGGACTGTGATAGGATCCAATTAAGGGAGCTGTAGATAAAATGATGATGAATTGCAGTGGTGTGGTAGACTGACGGACACAAACACACACAAACACAGACGCACATACACAAGCCTGGCAGACCCTCTAAAGCGGAAAAAGAGGGAAGCGAAGAGGCAAAGAAAGAGAGAGCCAAAGAGGAGGTGAGGGAATTAGGAACAGACAATGACGACGCAACAGAGAGCGTGATGGAGAAGGTGAGGAGAGGTAAGAGAGAATGAGAAAAATAAAGAGAGACAGAGGGGAGGAGAGGAAAGACTAAGCTCAGCAAGCAGACTGAGGGGAAACAAACAAACGAGGGAGAAACAGATGGGGAGAGAATGTATGTGGAATATAAAAGATGTGCATGTTTGAGAAAAGTGATGCTGGAAGAAAATAAAATCATGATCCATGCAAAAGTAAAACTGCTGAGATTAACTACACAGCAGAGGGAGGAAGGACAGTTGGAACAACAAGGACTGGTTACAATGTCGGTCAGCCGTTTTCAGATCTACCTGTTCAGTTGTAGGCTGCAGGAGGGAAACCATAGTACTTTTAAAGGGGGGAGCCTATGTATGACATCACAGCTGAATATTAAGATGATTTGGACATTGATTTTTGGCCATATTTTTATTGCTGTTGCAGGCATTTACAGTTTCAGACAGTATGAACAATTATTAGAACACTTTTGAAACTTGCTAGAGTTGTGCTATCAATCACAGTGAACAAACCAAATTTGAATTCTGTCAGTGTTACATTATTGTTGCGTGGTAACCAGTTTGAGTGCAGATTAATTAGAAAAGTCTACATTGATAAAAATGAATGCTGACTTGATGTTCACTGTGATGGATTACACAAATCAAGCAAGTTTCAAGTCTGCTGTTAGAATTTAATACCGCACAGAAAAGGGGCACTCCACATGTTTCAGAGCATGTGGAAACAGCTGTATAATGTCTGATAACATGATCAGGGTTTGGGCTTAGAGTTTACAAGTTTTTACCAGAAAGCCTGGATTACTAAACTGGGCATATGAAGTATTAGGGAGTATCTAATGTAAGACTCTATCAAGTTGCATCATGGGATGTGTAGGATTCATTTGTGTTTTTTGGAGCTTGACCATACTAGGTACTAAAAGTCAAGATATCTTGGATTCTGACCATTCCCTTCTAAAATGTGTCTATTGTGGGTCCTACAACTTTAAAGGAACAGAGTGCAGGATTCCACCTAGTTGCAGATTACAACCCACTACCCACTGTATCCACACTTTTTTAAGATTTAAATATTAATTAGTGCAGCTTTAAATACACTGGTATGGTCTTTTAGCAAGCTGTAAATGCTTTTGTAGCTTTAATTTTGTGATAATAGATGTGTTCATTGGAAAAATGAGAATGAATGAATTAATACAAAGGATCAACACGCAGAAGATCCATCTATGATTGAGAACCTGTATACTTGCTACCATTGTATTCAGTATTCTCGGTAGGGAAGTGTGTGTATATGTATCACAGCTGGATGTGACTGGGACAGTAGAGTGTAATAAATCACAGGGAAAATTAGCCAGCAGTAGATGTACACTCATCCATTCAATCTTACTGTCTCTTTGTGCATTATTTAGCCCCTCGCCAAACACTGAAACATTGAACTTGCATACTCAAATACACCAGGGACTCAAAGCATGCATGGGTGCACTCCGGGATGTGCACAGGAAAACACACGCTGGTGAGAGCACACACTCGCAGGCACACACTGATAGGATGCATGCAAGCTGCGTGGATACCTACTGTTTCATGGACAATACACACACACACACACACACACACACAAATACACATCCTACCCAGGGGTTTGGAAGCCCAACGTGAAACAGACATATGGAGATTCTCCACATGATCCTCTTCCTAATCATGTGGAGCAGACGGAGACTGTAGCATCAGCAACAACCAGCAACCTGCTTTACATGATTTATTACACTGACACACATAGGCTATCAAACACTTTATGTGTGTATGTGTCTGTGTGTATGAACCTTCCACTGTAAGTCCGTGCATCTGGCACTGTTTTGTGAAACATAGTCAATTTAAGGAGGGTGACAGACTGTGTGTGTTTGTGCGTTCACAGTCCTCAAATTGGTCTGGGCTTTAATCTAGTCTAGACTTTTCCTTACTTTCACAAACAGTCTGCATATAGCACAAATACAGTGTAACACATGCACAGTGCACACCCTGCAACACTGCCTCATGACTCCTATGAAATACTGTTACCACTAATGTGCTTTGCTAATGAATTTAAGAGGCTGTTTATGGTGTTGTTACAGTCTACCACAATACACTTAGTTAAGGTAAGATGAAAGATGGAGGTGTTGGTTAGGGCTGCAGTAGGTAACCTTTAGAAAAAAAAAATGTGCTGAAATTTTCACTGTTTTCTGACAGTAGTACATGAGACACATAATCTGTGAAAATCTGGTTCCTCTGGCTCATTCAAGTGCTAGTCTTGTACTAATGTCAGGATATAGTAAAAAGTTTCAGCAAATATGCCAAAATATTTGAATACAAATGACCTACTGCAGCTTTAAATTTTGAAAACATGAATATGCACTGTATGTTTCCAGTCAAGTGTGACAAAGGTCTTTCACTAACTTTAACCAAACACTTTGAGTTGAGTAAACCTA